GTGGGAAAGCGCAGTATACCATTTCGTGAGAAAGGATGATATACTGTTTTATGCTGGATCCAATCTGTTAACTATTCATTTCCGTATAAATTGATCTACTAATTCAATGTGTCAACAATCTATTTGGACCGTAGTGATGATTACTTCCTTATGTCTCAAACTGGTCCAAACTTCAACAGGGAAATTTATCGAAATTAACTTAACATAGTAAGGATTTAACTGGTGGATAGTGACTAGTAGTGGAATCCAGGATAAAGCGCATTTCGTCCTATTTGGGACTCGTCCTCCAGCTTGATGTACCTAAATTCCCCAAGGGATTGATGATGTTCCCACCGAGGCTGGAACCCTGTAAACATAGTTTCAAACGACAAAGCGTTATCCACTAGGGCCACGAAAGCCACCTGTTGTGCAACAGGTCATATTAATTATTTAATTGAATTTTAGATTTTCCCGTACATGCAGCTGACGAGTCCTAAATGGGACGCAGTTCGCATGCTGGAGTACGCTGCTAGTTACCACCCTACCAATTAACTTCTAAGTACATGCACAGATATCGTGAAAGCATCTGCACAAGAAGCCGGCATGTCAATCTGAGACCGAGCAGCACTTCGGTTCAATCAATCGATGGGAAAATCTGAAATTCAGTTAAATAACTTAACAGAGGATTTTATGTAAAAAGGACCTCTCTTGTTTTAAGAAAAAAATTTCTCCAATCATAAGAGTCATGAAACAGGTATCAACATGTATAATAAACAAAATTGTATGAACCGTCATCAAAATTTGACTTCAAACTTTCAAAAATTAGTCTGCTTTTTTTAAACACTTTAAAGTGTACTTTTCATCAGATTGCGTTCGACTAAACGTTTGTGGTCGTAGATACCTGAATATGAAAATATATGTGTTTATGCAGTTTACAATGGTGTGTATATGTGTGCATGGGTAAACAGTTAATAAACATTTGTTCCCTCTCCATAAGAAGAGACAGACAATCGGGAATTCCGACCAAGTATGATTAATTAGTGATACAAATCAATTTTTTATTTACTATTCAGGATTTGCTATGTATCAGCAAACATCACACCTTCACGTTTGTTCAAACTGTTAGGATTTAACCATATATGCAGGGCTTCCGTAGTCAGTCTTTCTTTATACGAACCAAAACTTTTCTGTAGAACCTTAGTCCTATCAAAGTCGATCTTTTGTCCCGTTTCTATCGAATGCAGTGTGATCGCTGATCTGTTTTCTAGCTTCTTTAAGTCTGCAGAGGTCTTCCAAACCACCTTTAGACATTGTTTATGCTCTTTCACTTATATTTACCTGTCTGGAAGTTTCTCCTACATATACGGTGTCAAAGTCCCCCACAATTGATCTGGTACACACACAATTCTGTTGGTTTTCTTCTTCTATTTCATCCTTAACCTTCACCAGTTTTGAGCGTAAGGTGTAAGTTGCTCCAAAATACACTCTTACGTCATGATCGTTAAGGATTCACTTTATCTCATCCCATGTTTCTTTGCGGGAAGGAATCACCACTGTACTAACCCAATTCTTAGCAACAGGTTTCGATCCATCCTTATCTTGACATTTTAAATATCTTTTTATGAGGGTTTTAAGATAATTATTTGATTCAAGAGTGAATTAAACCAATTTTAATTCAAGTTCCTTGTTTATCTCTTCCTCCTCAGTAACTAGACGTTTGGCTCTGTTAATCAGATTCTTGGCTACAGTTACTTTGGTGATTAAAGGGGTGTGCTGTCCGAATTTTTCGGCTTCCTGAAAATGTCTATTTTAAATTTACCACTTAGTTTTATTTTTACTAAACAGTCCAGGAACGCCAAATCATTCTCATTGGATTCAACCTCTTTGGAAAACTTTATAGTTTCTGACATAGTTTATTTAGTGAGAAAGTTCATCCAAAAACCTACGTCTGATAAGGACGAAGGTACCATTCACGTATCTTAACCACATTTTTGGAGAACTAGAACATCTCCTAATTGCCTTTGTTTCTAATGAGTGCATAAACAGATTGGCCACTAGCGGAGATACTGCTGATCCCATAGCAATGCCTTCTGTTTAACGGCAATAACCACTATCAGTCACTATCGCCGGGAGATTTATGAAAGAGGTCACTCCCTTCACTTATCGAATCAGGCAACATCGTTTCAACTACAGGCGGACAGCACGGATGAAGATGTCAAAGCCTGAATCAGAAGGGCAAGATCAGGGCTTAAATCAACCTGAAACCAATTTGGAAACCTTCTGCACTCAGTCAGCATAAAGGACAAAATTCGGATTTTCAACGCCAATATTAAGTCAATAGACTTCAATCTTCGCCTACCCTGGACTACTTGACCTATCTAAATATGATTGGTCATTAGTATGTACTTTTGTTTTTATTTAACTGAGTAATTGTCATGAACTTTATTTTATTATTGTTAACCATGTTAGTTGTAAAGCGGTTGTAAAGCAACTACGAAATGATATCATCTCGCGAAATTTGTCTTCTTAATGCCTTATTCAAATTTATCAAAGGGACTAATTGTTTTAATATTAAGTCAGTCAATTCTTCTGTATGCGTCAGAAACTTGGCGTGCGCATCACGAAAAGCATCTTTAACAGGCTACTGCAGATTTTTATCAACAACTACCTCCTTATTGAACATCAGATGGCCAGCAAGAAGGAATTAGCCACAAGAAACTCTGGAAAAATAACTAAACAAGAACCTAATTGGTGGATGGTGACTAGCAGTAGAATCCACCATGAGCATGTCGTCCCATTTGGGACTCGTCTAACCAAGTGGTCTAGTGGATAACGCTTTGTCGTTTGGAACTATGGGCATTGGGTTCGAGCCTCGGTGGGAACATCATCACTCAGTGGGGAATGCAGGTACATCCAGCTGGCGGATGAGTCCCAAATAGGACGAAATGTGCTTTATCCTGGATTCCACTGCCAGTCACCATCCTACCAATTAACTTCTCATTACATGCACAGACATCGTCGAAGCATCTACACAAGGAGGAGCCGATATGTCAACCTGGGGCTGAGCAGCACTTCGGTCCAATCAATCGACGGGAAAATCTGAAATTGAATTAAGTAAACAAGAACCTATTGCTCAACAAATATATTCCGAAGGTAATGGGGAAATGGATTGAGCATACACTGAAGAGACCTTCGAATGACATCACGCTCCAGCTAGGCCATCGTTCAAATAGTACCCGAATAGGAGACGACGAGTGGGTCGTCCGAGGGTAATGTGGAGGAGGAGATCAGAGAATATCACCAATCGTGGGGCCAGCTAAACAGGATCGCAAAGAATACGGCAAAGTGGAGACGTCCTTTTGAAGCCTTATGTGTCCTACTCGGAACCCGAGGGAACAATTATATTAATAATCACAGTAAAAAGCCAAGCTATTGATAAAAAATACCTTTCAGGAAAGAATTTTATATTTTTTTGTTTTTTCGTTACTGTTGTACAAAAAATAAAGAATAAATTTTACAAAAATCGTTGAAATGCGTACTTGAAGGTAGGCAATGTTGTGAGCAGACAAAATACTCTGAAGAGGAAAGAAGGCGAACAGCATATATCTATATGTATACATAGAAACAAAATCAACTTATTTTTCTATGGATCCATTGAAGATACCATTACAACATATCTCAGAGTCTGTATTCAAACCATTAGTTATCAAAATCTGTCTATAAGTTGAAAATAAATGTCCAATTAAATAACTTGTTACTTTCGGTTTTATATACTCACAAGACTTTCGACTAGCCTCGTATCGATCAGTATACGCGGTTAGAGTATCCAACTGCACTAGTTTATTCAGCGTACAATGATTGTGTATTAGAAACATTTATTTCCCGATACGAATTTAAAACAAGCAATAAAGGTTAATAAAGCAGGATTTAATGAATTCATCAAATTTCGGTAGAACTCGTCAGCTGAATACTCTACATACACGGATATATACTTTTGAAGTTACATTGGGAGATATAGGACTGAATACTTTACATACACGGATATATATAGTTTTGAAATTACATTGGGAGATATAGGACTGATAAGTAAATAAACTACATTGAATTAGTCATGCAGAAAGACAGGTGCGAATGTTTTTCCAGGTCATGTGCAATTAGATAAGGGGAGAGAGAGTATGGGAGATCAAAATTAAGATAAATTGCATTACGCTTCAATTACATCACTTAGGTAAACAATTAGACATTAGAGAATTTAACAAGAATTGCAACCAGAGGGATGTCAATAGTAATAGTTATAATAACAGTAATATAATATAACAATAATAATAATAGTGTTGAAGTGGGTTAAGATAATGCTACTGATAAAGGATAGTTTTAGATGAATCAAGAATAATAATAATGAGAATAATAATAGTAATAATAAAATAATAATAAGAGGTAGAATTGTAAGTAAAACGTATTACCATGGTAGATTCAGAGTCACGACCATCTCCTTTTGTACACAGAGACCTGGTTTGTAAACTCGAATTGCACAAGCCTCTGCAGTTGCAAGCATCTTCTTGTTTCTTTGTCTGCTGACAATGGTGAATGACTTGACTGCGTCGATATCGTGCCCGTAATCCACAAGATGCTTTGTTATTGAGGATTTTGGCACTTTGAACTCAGTCAAGTCATTCACCATTGTCAACAGACAAAGAAACAAGAAGATGCTTGCAACTGCAGAGGCTTGTGCAATTCGAGTTTACAAACCAGGTCTCTGTGTACAAAAGGAGATGGTCGTGACTCTGAATCTACCATGGTAATACGTTTTACTTACAATTCTACCTCTTATTATTATTTTATTATTACTATTATTATTCTCATTATTATTATTCTTGATTCATCTAAAACTATCCTTTATCAGTAGCATTATCTTAACCCACTTCAACACTATTATTATTATTGTTATATTATATTACTGTTATTATAACTATTACTATTGACATCCCTCTGGTTGCAATTCTTGTTAAATTCTCTAATGTCTAATTGTTTACCTAAGTGATGTAATTGAAGCGTAATGCAATTTATCTTAATTTTGATCTCCCATACTCTCTCTCCCCTTATCTAATTGCACATGACCTGGAAAAACATTCGCACCTGTCTTTCTGCATGACTAATTCAATGTAGTTTATTTACTTATCAGTCCTATATCTCCCAATGTAATTTCAAAACTATATATATCCGTGTATGTAAAGTATTCAGTCCTATATCTCCCAATGTAACTTCAAAAGTATATATCCGTGTATGTAGAGTATTCAGCTGACGAGTTCTACCGAAATTTGATGAATTCATTAAATCCTGCTTTATTAACCTTTATTGCTTGTTTTAGATTGTGTATTAAATAGAATAATAGAAAATCTATACAGAAATGAGTTAAACAAACTTCCCATAGTGAAGAGGGTTGACGATCTGCAATCAACTGGCTGAAGTATGTTAAACAATCACTAGTTATGCTTTTCATCCAATCATTTTTAAGACATTCATAGACGACCGTCCCCTCTTTTTCTTCACCATTCACCACCAGCGCCGCCGCCTCCTCTTCCTTCTCTTTCTCTTCCTGATAACTAGCCATATAGAAATATATAATCTGACCGATATTTAATAACATTAAACTGCATATTACACCCGGACAGGGTGTAGTTTCTGATGATGACGAAAGAAGGCGTGAAAATGCTTCATACCAACGATCAAGAAACAGCCGAAAACTAACTGTTAAGCACATTGATGATAAACACAGACATTCATTTGACAAATAGTCATTATCATTTGAAGGTGGTGATGATGATGCATTTAGAAGAAGAAGATTAATACCAATCCAACACCAGCCAAGTTGTTCAATCTCTTTACCACGTCGTATTTTAGAAATTTCTACTTCACGATGTACCATAATATTCGTAGCATTTATCCATTGTTTATTTCCAATATTCAATAGAATTGGAAAGAATGACTTTTCAACTGAACTTGAACGATGATCGGTTAACCGTTTTATACACTTTTCTGTGTATATTACAACTTCTGATGATGATGATGATGATGATTCTAAACGTAAATGAGCCAGAATTAAAGCTTCTTCAACTTTGTCATAACTTAACAGTAATTCAATTGCTTCGTGAATACGATGTGCACACACCAGTAGGGTAGCAGAGACGAGAGTATCACCACGAGTCCTTTGCATATTTTTTATCTGTCATTATTGCATTTTTGAGTGGAAAAAGGCGGAGAAAACAATAAAAAACAAAATCACGATTACACAAAGAAAACAGGGTTATTCATCAAGCATTTTGTATATTCAAAGTAAAATATTTCGCAAATGAACACTATCGATTACCAATAAACAGACAGTCATACAGATTATCACAAATTTCAGCTTAAAGGAGAGTTACGAAAAGATTTTTCAAAAATATAACTAAATATTCTCAACGTTATGTAACCTAAGTACCCTAACGACAACTGCTACCTACCATTACGTTGTGGTCAGGCTTGCATATCACAATGACCCAATAAGGTACACTGGTTGGAACTAGTGTTCTCGCAGGTCCTTGCATCCCAGGAACAATGTTACGGTGGCGAATTGACAAATAAAACAGCTACTAGCATAGAGCAAGATTTTTTCAGAGAAGTTGCATTAGCCAGTCCCAGCACGTTGATTGCTGACCAAATCCCAGTACGGATACAGAAGGCTTGTTTGGCATCCGCCTGCCAACTTAAACCAATCTCTCGCGTAGACGTGATATCTCGCTGACTGTCGACCAAAGGACGTGTAAACTGCTCACCAGTTGACTCCCACCTACTCCTTTATATATGTGAGTGAAACGTGACCACTGACAGTGAAAGACATGAAAAGCCTGACTAGCTGTCTTTCATCATACGTGTCTGTGTTTCACCTACATCCCGTGTTAGCTGGTATGGTATGATAGGGTGAGTATTATTGTATTGAGGTTAGGCATCGGTCGAGTTCTAGGTAAGGAAGCAGGGGAAGACAACCGACGAGGTTGTGATGTTGCATCGATTGAGATGCCTAGTAAAGGTGTTACGCATACTAGCCTAGCCATCGATCGCCTTCGTCGACAGGCAATCTTACCTAGCTGACATAGGATCGGTGAGGTCGGAAAAAAGCTACTGGTGGTGAAACGGAAATGTGGCTTCGTCAGTAAGTGAAATCCATAACATTTAGTTTAGGCCAGCCAGCGACGTAGAGAGGTGTAGACTGGGTGACTGGCTGGCTGTCTGGTTAGGGTCCTCGAGATGGAAAAAACCAAATGACTACTGGAGTCAAATGGTCACATGACTCGAAGTCGTTCTCAGTGATAGCGCAGATACATTCACTCACTCTTTGTGATTTGCCATATCCAATAAAACTCTATTGTTCTTTCATATTACTATTCTCCTCTTCTCACCCACACTTTTGTTTATTATCTCTCTTTACTCTCTTCTCTGGCTTTGTGTAGTACATGGAGAGTGTGCCAACTGGGGCTGCTGCACATTTCTGCAAAGTTCTACGTTGAAACAAGTCAGCCAGTCACACCTCTATTTACTGACTATATTATGCATTTCTTCTGCTTTCTTCTCTTGCTTTGTGTGCTACATGGAGTGTGGCGACTTGAACTGCCGCATATCGGTGCAAAGTTCTATGTCGAAAACCGACCGACCGATCAATCAAATCAAGCTATGGAAAATAATGGAATTATATAAACGAAGTTAGAAAGTTGTGTGAGTAGTGTCTTGATATGATTATAGGTAATAATTCGTAAATATTACTGCATAACAGTGTGAGACTTTATCAAAATAAATTTTACCCATAATGGAATTACATTCTACCACAGTGCACAAGTTTAATTCTTATAGATAGAAATGTAATTACAATAACAAAAAACAGAATGATTATCATTGGACCAAATGTGAAAGATGGCAAAAGGTAAATATATCACATTGTGAATGACCTTCCATGATGTTCCCAAGTGTCACAGACCATTGACTTCGGTACCTCAAGCATTACAGTTGCGTAAGCTACACCGCGCTACATAGTTCAAACAAACAGTCAGTGACTCCATGGATTCCTGTCATGTTATGTTTGATCACTCCAAATAATACGCCCCACAACTCAATGCTATTTCAAGCAAACATCTCTAGTCGAAACAATCAATCGTAAACATGATCCTGAGCCAACCAGGGCGTGATAGTAGTCTACACACGTGTTTAAGAAGGAGTGGCAGCCTTCTACTGACCCCCACCAAAGATAGTCTATCACTGTGTCGTCTATTTGAGTCCAACGATGATTCGTTTAAGGAGGTCGCCAGCATAGACACTGTCTCTCTATGTGCCTAAAGTTAGCGCTGACTAGGGACAGATGATTGTCTTAAGAGAACTGTAGAAGACGATCACCGTTCACAGTTCACCGGCAGGGAACTCCCGCGTAACTTTTCTACTTGAGCATTGAAGTTGCCAGCTAAAATCACTACGTCTGAGTGTCTTGCTTTATACACCAAACTAGACAGATTTTCGTAGGAATGATTCTTTAATTCATCCGAACTGCAGTCCACTGGGTGGTAAGCAGAGACTATGGAAAGACACCATCGAGTAACGTAGTCCTTTCTTCTTCAAACGAGCCCGTTCACACAGACCACACAAATATGGCTATCTCCAAGGATCCAGTCAATACAGGATTTTTCTGCCCCAACACTAAGTGCCAGCCATCCCTACGCCTACGAGTCATCGCAACTGCACAGTCAAAACAACTGGTAGCTCCGTATGCGTAACACATATACTGCCCACCACCACATAACAAACAGTACATAGCCAGATTGACTAGTCGCCTCTCTTTACATAATACCATAGAAAATAATCAAACACTGGTAGCTTCAAAATACACTGACGAATTAAACTTGAGAAATATCAAACTGAATTAACTAATTGAAACCGTTAGGCGGCCTAAGGATACAATATCCAACATCGTTTTTACAGACCAGAGTGACTGACTGGTTTCAACATAGAACTTTGCACCGATGTGCAGCAGTTCGAGTCGCCACACTTCACTTAGCACAAAGACAGAGAAGAAAGTAAAAAGATACGCAAAATAGAGAAAGTAAACAGAGATATGAGGCAGAAAGAATAGTAATATCGAAGAAAAATATAGTTTCATTGGGTATTATAAGTCACAAGGAGTGGATGCATCTGCGCCACTGAGAACGATTTTCAGCCATATCACCAATTGTCTCCAGCCATTGGTGTTTACCGTCCCGAGGACCCCAACCAGTCAGGAAGTCTACACCTTCCTACATGGCTAGCTTAAACTAACTGTTGTGGATTTCATTGACTGATGAGGCCATGTTTCCGTTTGACCACCATTGGCTCTTTTCCAACCTGAACAATCCTATGTCAACTAACATTGCCTGTTGTCGAGAAAGGCGATGGCTAGGAATGTATGCGTAACACATGTCCTAACAATCTCAGTCGATGTCCTCGTCGATTGATTTCCCCTCCTTACCTAGCACTCGACGCCTAACCTCAATATTACTCACCTTATTACACCTACCACTTCCCACGGGAGGTAGAACGCAGACACCTATGATCAAAGACAGCTAGCCGTGCTTTTCATGCCTTCCACTTTCAATGACCAGGTCTCACAGCCATAAACGACAACGGAGCGGACTACTGAGCAGTACATACATCGTTTGGTCGATAGCCGGATATCACGTCTACACCAGAGACGGTGTAAGCTGGCATATGCGAAACTGGCCCTCTGTATGCGTGCTGAGTTTCAGTCACTTGATTTAGTCTGAGGATTAGTTTGGTCCCGCTGAAGTTTTCCTATTGAACTTCGTCATTTGCTTTGCTTGTAACTAGAGAGATAATGTCGCTTGTAACTGCTTAGTGTCTGGCTGAAATTTACACATTTCAAAGAAGTTAAACGGTGAAAATCTGAAAAGTATAAATGCATATTCGTCTATGAGTGTTTTGATTGTATTTCTCGTTTAAATATGTAAATCACTCACCTTTTCACCTAGTAAATCAAACTCCACACTTCCAGAAGATCCATCTGAAGAAAACGATAGTTGAACTGCATACAATAGCCAAAAAGGCATATGATCTTCTGAAGACATAATAGATGCCACCGTGACCACATGACCTATCCATAATAATATAATACAATATGCATCCAAATGCACAAGACTGTTAGGTCTTTGTTGAGAATGAAATGACTTCAAGTGACCAGACGCCTCCATATTCAGATATTTTAAAAGGCGTGCACGAGTCATACGAGCTTGTGGGAGTAGAAGTAACAAATCAATTTGTACTTGTTTGTCATTCATTTGTTCACTTACGAAATTTGAAGCATTTAAAATTTGTGAAAGAAAACATCCTAGTTGAATGGGTGGAGAGTTATCTAAATCTAATTCACAATTATTAGTATTAGCATTCATAAAATTGAATAAATTAGGAAAAAGAGCAGGTCTTTTCCTTCTATCACGAATGCCAGCAGAATTTACTTTCCGAGACGAATTACACTGTCGTGGAATAGACATTTCTTGATGAGAAGTACCATTAGGTAGGATGTCATTCGATTTTATTATTACTTTCTTTTGTTCTAACTCTTCGTCATTTAGTGCTTTAGAATCAGGAAGGGATTCTGTTTCTGTTGGAACAGGCTCACAACACAAAATATCTCCGTTGGACGGTGCTTCTTGATCATTTACAAGTTTTTTAACAGTGGGTGGACGATGTCGGCGAGTGTGCGGTGGTTGACTGAAGAGTTGTTCGGAGGGTTGCCAACCGAATAAATGACATAATTCACCACCACTGAATGCAAGATCAGGCTCTTGACGACTCCATAGACAAGCAAAATGACGTGAACGAAGTGCACGAAAATTAGAGATTGAAAAATTATCTTTTTCAATATTTTCAGGATGAATTCTCCAAACATTAGCTGTACCGTCAAAGGAAGCAGATAATAAGAGAAATGGATCGTGTGGAGACCAATCTAGACATGTGATTCTGTTGTAATGTCCTTCTAAACGAGCTAAACTAGTAGACAGTTCAATCGGCAGCTTACAGTATTCGCCTTGATTAAGGTAGTTGATTAATTGAATTTTGACATCTGTGACAGTGATAAAGGTTTCATTGGAACCTACAGCCAACCAGTAATGATCTCGTGACCAAGTTAAACAGTTAACACACTTCGAATGATTCACAATACGACAAATAAAGACAAGTCGTCTAGACTCCTTCTCCCTCACCTCCTCCTCACAATTTGATGAGTTTGAACGTAAGAAACCATAAATGTCAACTTCACCTGAACGATAACCAACAGCTACTAAACAGCTAAAAGTATCAGCAATTAGATCGACACCCGGTAGTTCAGATTTACTGACAAGACGGAATGATATCTCACTACGGATCAATGCTTTCCAGTCTTCATCTGTAGTACCCGGAAAACGGGGGAATTTTGTGCTAACATCAATTGGTGGACGACTGCATCCAAAATGACAGTAAATTTTACCCTTACTTATGCTGTAAACGTAGAAAGAAACCTTAGATGAGGCTTCGTTATCCTCGGTGGAATTCTCATCTTCTTGTGCAATTATATGCGTTGTTGAAATGCTAGAATTATCAGATTTCGAATGATTAATCTCGCTAGCTCTCTCTTCACTTTCATTTGCCTTTCTACGATATATATCAGAAAATAGTAAAGGCCCCCAGGCAACTCGATACACAGTTGAACCAAATGCATACAGCTGCGGTTCACGCTTTTGTGATTTCATTCTTCGTAGCTTATTAATATCTACAATCTCCACACAACCTGATTCAGTGCCATAAGCAATAACATTCTCAAACTGCGGTAAAGGATGACAAGACAGCGTGGTTATCGAAGATGATTTGCATCCTCGAGGTGATATTGAAACAAACTTTGTTTCTCTGTTTTGATTATCAGAAAAATTTCTTTCGCCAAACAATTCTGGTGCAGGAAACTTCCAAAATATGATGGAACCGTCTGAAAGACCTGCAACTAAGGGACCATTGCTAAATTCAGATTGAGCTAAAGAGCAAACACCTGCAGACATTGTAGGTACTTTAAGGACCACTGACAGGTTAGATCCTTCCACCAACTGCCAAACAATCAAAAATCTATCTTGACTCAAAGTGATTACCAGTCCTGGTGAATTAAGAAAGTAGTGCATTGAGAAAATTAGCATAGAATGTCCTTGACTGTCAAGCGACATACAGCTAGGCGTTCCTTTGCAATCCCAGTAAAATAATCCACCTCGTACACTTGAGAATAAAACATTCACTGAAGAATCACTTCCTGGTGTGTAGCAAGCAGATATCCATGGAGCTCCATTTTGTTCACTTCTCTCGTTATGTCGTCCAGCATTTCCACATTGTTGACGTAATTCACCGGGAACTTGGTAAGATGAAGTGCATTCTGAAGTGGTGACATTCCATACCTATTTACAGAAATCAAAACAAATACTACGTTAGCAAAAATGGTGTCCTACTGCATATGAATATACTAATATATTACTGAATGACAGACTCGTTTCAACACAGAACTTTGAACAGATGTGCAGCAGTTCGAGTTCCCGCACTCCACGTAGCACACACAGCATGACAACAAACTACAGATATATAATAAACAAAAGTGTGAGTCAGGGGAAAAAAACAGTAATCCGAAAGAACAATAGAGTTTCATTGGATATTTGAATAGTGTTAATAGAAGACGGAGATTATCTGGAAAATGTGATGTATTCCCGCTTTACATTTCGAACAATCTGATCCCTCACACATTTACTTGTCAAGTCGATATATATATGAAAAAAATTAAGGGCAATTAAATTAAACAAAGTGACAAAAAAGGACTTCAGAATGATTAGCACAACGTTTAGTAATCCAATCAAATAAGGATTACCAAGGTAGGTTAAGAGTAATAATAAACTGTTTTTGAATACACGGGGGAGAATTAAGTTTATGAATAGCTATAGCTTCAGCGTATTCCAATAAGTGCCCTTGACCATTTTTTATAGATGACCTTAAAGGCTGAGTTAACATCAACCTTATGGTTAATCTCGATTAGATGTTTAGCTATAGACGAAGTTGGTAGTCTGACACCTGCATCTATTGGTTTTCCACAATTCATTTGTTTTTCAAACCATTCCAGGATATGCTCTCCCACCCTCACATACAAAGCACGATTACTCCTCCCTATGTATGTGTGTCCACACAGATACATGAAAAATATTGCTGGCTGGCTGGCTAAAACCAACTGTTATGGATTTTGTTGACTGGCGAAGTCGTGTTTTCGTTTCACCACCACTAGCTTTTTAGACCTCGCCAATCCTATGTCAGCTGGGTAAGATTGCCTGTCGACGAAGGCGATCGATGGCTAGGCTAGTATGCGTAACACCTTTACTAGGCATCTCAATCGATGCAACATCACAACCTCGTCGATTGTCTTCCCCTGCCTTTTCTTACCTAGAACTCGACAGATGCCTAACCTCAATACAATAATACTTACCCTATCATACCATACCACCTAACACGGGATGTAGGTAAAACACAGACACGTATGATGAAAGACAGCTAGTCAGGCTTTTCATGTCTTTCACTGTCAGTGGTCACGTTTCACTCACATATATAAAGGAGTAGGTGGGAGTCAACTGGTGAGCAGTTTACACGTCCTTTGGTCGACAGTCAGCCAGATATCACGTCTACGCGAGAGATTGGTTTAAGTTGGCAGGCGGATGCCAAACAAGTCTTCTGTATCCATACTGAGATTTCGTCAGCAATGAACGTGCTGGGACTGGCTAATGGAACTTTCCAAATAAGTGGAGTGGTCAACACGCTCTACCACTTCACTCCTACCTATCTTTAAGCTAGGAATCTATGTAGTGCAGCCCTGTAGTATGACAAGAGCGAATCGCATGCCAAACATTCGACGACTGATGCTCAAGGTGTTTAGAAGACTCTGTATTTTTCCAGCGTCTTGATCTACGAAGGATGACTACATGATCCACATAGTCATGGTAACAAGATAATCTGAGTCGCTGAAGTCAGTCAGGACTAAGTCCATTAGTACATCTACGATGAAATTAAACAGAAATGGGGATTTCAGCATACAACTTTACATAGTAGTACCGATAGAAGTTTGTTGCCACACTATATGTAGCTCAAAAAGTTAGAGAAAAAAACAAAGAAACATTCAAGGGAATTATAATGTGCAGAAATGCACGGGAGAAAGAATATCATTAACATGGGAAAACATAAACGTTTAATGGATAAGAGGCATTTGTTCAAATTTCTCTACAGGAATACAACTAATAGAAACGAAACTATTCAATCCCCTCAAAGTTTAGGAATACGATTACTAGAACGACAACATGACATACTTTAAAACACGAGTGAATACGAAGTAGGAACTGTCGGCTAATAGAAGCAGGAATAATCATAATGCCGAAGAAAGTGAAATTCCCCTGGGAAATTAGAGGGAGAATTTAGTAATGATACTGACATTTTTGTGCGTCGGTGGCACAGAGCTAGAGTGCTCGCCGACTACGCAAGTGGTCCGGGGTTCGATCTCCGGCTCACGGACTCCTTTACCTCGCTAAGCCAGTAGTGAGACTGGTCAGGAGGGAAGGTTGGGCATGAGGCTAGCAACCCCATCCTGTAAAAATAAAAACTTCAAGCCTCTAGCTTGAAGCCCTATGTTCCAGTGGGAACGTAAATGAATAAAAAACAGAAAATAAAAAACTTTGAGATGGTCGTTAGCCACTTTGTGTTGTCAGAAGTGTAAGCATATTTAAAGTGTGGAGTCAGAATAAATACTTAATTAGTTCATTTATAATGTTTCTTGGCTTCAAAAGGCAAACCGAATAAGAAAAATACAGTGCATCTACCTAAGAAGATCGAAGATCGAGAGTGCTTCAACCAATTTTACCATAGTCGATGACTGAAAATTCCACATTTATCTGCAAACATATGCAACCACTAGAATTGTGATTACGTCTGGCTACATTGACTGTCAGTCCCCGCTGGTTCGTGCCCAGAATTCTACGCGCCATGGAAAGGGTCATCCGAGATCGTCCAACACCGACCCCCGACTACGTACATCCTGCGGAATCTACGACGCCCTCATCTCCGCCCACTATAACCAACTGAAACCGCATCATCCCAACCGCCGCCTGCCACTAGCTTCGTTGAGATGCCGTCTGCCAGAGGCACGGCATACCCTATACCACCATCAGGCACTGAGGACAGTGCCCACAGAAGGGAGGAGGCAATGTAATGGGACAAAAACCAGTATAATATCACTAAATAAGTTTTTCTTTTCTTCTTTTGCAGAAACAAATGCCAGCATAAATTCATTGGAGCAAGAAGAGGAGCGTTTAGCTGGACTTGTTCTAACAGATGACAATTAACTTGTAACCGCTCAATTTAAAACCTTGCATGCTCATAATATAGACCTTTTACGGCACTCTGCGTTCTTCTTCTCTGTCTGTGACCGTGTGGATTATCTGTTACAAATTGGTGTCGGAGGTGTCCAATTCTACAGTCAACATGGAATCTTCATCAGATTACGGCCTCCCCAAGCTATGTCCAGAAGAAAGTGAAATCACCACACCCACTGTGCCCACGTTGCCCCGTCCTCCAACGTTGCAGCTGTCATCAGACTCTCCCAGATGGAAGAAGCGCATACAGGTATACCTCACTCCTACCTATCTTTAAGCTAGGAATCTATGTAGTGCAGCCCTGTAGTATGACAAGAGCGAATCGCATGCCAAACATTCGACGACTGATGCTCAAGGTGTTTAGAAGACTCTGTATTTTTCCAGCGTCTTGATCTACGAAGGATGACTACATGATCCACATAGTCATGGTAACAAGATAATCTGAGTCGCTGAAGTCAGTCAGGACTAAGTCCATTAGTACATCTACGATGAAATTAAACAGAAATGGGGATTTCAGCATACAACTTTACACAGTAGTACCGACAGAAGTTTGTTGCCACACTATATGTAGCTCAAAAAGTTAGAGAAAAAAAACAAAGAAAGATTCAAGGGAATTATAATGTGCAGAAATGCACGGGAGAAAGAATATCATTAGCATGGGAAAACATAAACGTTTAATGGATAAGAGGCATTTGTTCAAATTTCTCTACAGGAATACAACTAATAGAAACGAAACTATTCATTCCCTGTTAAGTTTAAGAATACGATTACTAGAACGACATAACATACTTTAAAACACGAGTAAATACGAAGTAGAAACTGTCGGCTAATAGAAGCAGGAATAATCATAATGCCGAAGAAAGTGAAATTCCCCTGGGAAATTAGAGGAAGAATTTAGTAATGATACTGACACTTTTGTGCGTCGGTGGCACAGAGGTTGAGTGCTCGCCAACTACGCAAGTGGTCCGGGGTTCGATTCCCGGCTCACGGACTCCTTTACCTCGCTAAGCCAGTAGTGAGACTGGTCAGGAAGGAAGGTTGGGCATGAGGCTAGCAACCCCATCCTGTAAAAATAATCACCACTGCTACAGAAACTTCAAGTCTCTAGCTTGAAGCCCTATGTTCCAGTGGGAACGTAAATGAATAAAAAACAGAAAATAAAAAACTTTGAGATGATCGTTAGCCGCTTTGTGTTGTCAGAAGTGTAAGCATATTTAAAGTGTGGAGTCGGAATAAATACTTAATTAGTTCATATATGATGTTTCTTGGCTTCAAAAGGCAGACCGAATAAGAGAAATACAGTGCATCTACCTAAGAAGATCGAAGATCGAGAGTGTTTCAACCAATTTTACCATAGTCGATGACTGAAAATTCCGAATTTATCTGCAAACATATGCAACCACTAGAATTGTAAACAAATGCCGTTTGACCTTTAAAGTTATAGTTGTTTTAAGTCAAAATCTGCCCATCACATGTCCAATTACTAGTCAATTAAAGGATTTACGAAAAAATGACGTAACGACTCTCTATGTTTTCACCCACATTATCGTGCATCGTGTCTGATAATAATATGAAAAATATCGCTGAACACAAGATGAAATACCTAGAAATATCTGTCTAGTTTACATGGATAAACATACCCCTAATAAATAGCATCATTTAAATATCAGGAAACATGGAATCAGCTATTCGTTAAACACTGTGCATTAATGATATCATATGTTGGACGAATTCATTTGTTCCACTTGCTTCTATTCATAACACAACAACGATAAAAGTCATCATACATAACGTAAAAAAGTTAAGAAGAAATAATTAACAATTTGATGTCACTGGGTTATAATCGGACTGGGAAAGAAGCCTAAATTTCCTTAAGATTCCAGTTGCCAGTGTCTGACTGGCATCCTGTAGACTGAGACAGCTGCTGACGAATTAATTAGTTACTATGCCTTAGTTTCACATACACATGAATAATGATTATAGGACTCAGTTTCCGTTTACAGACTCTTAAATACTCGTGTCTTAAACTGATAACACAAAGTCAGACTACATAATTTACCCGTTCCTAAACGACAAAAATGTCACTCCGAAAATTTAAGTAATAAATAAAACTGAAGGAATGTAGGACATATAGAACAGTATTGATGCCTACTACGAAATAACTTGAGTAGTATTTTTTTATTGTAGCTTGACTCCACACAGTATTTTTGATACACGTATGGAATTTTCAGCATGTGATATCGGTAGCCCAAATTTCGAAGGTCAACCATTGATATCAGGTGTGCATCGGCCGGGGAGCGAACCCCAGACCATGTGTATGATCGGCGGGCGTCCTAACCGCTATGCCACCGACACAGAAAAAACGAACGCGAAACAGGTCACACTATTCCACTATAGTATTCAGACGAAAATGGAGATTTAATTGGTTACTTGTGAGTGTAACTGCAAATTATCATTGATACTGAGTGTAAACTAGTCGTATCTCAAATCAATACACACTTAGACAACTGAACATGTTATCCATACATAAAAATATTTTTTTTATAATCCGTAGTACTTAACTTATAATGTGGGTTTTCTACACCTCGTGTCAGGCGAACGCAATGATATATAATAAAAGGGATTGAAAAACATGATTATTTATTGACTGGACAAAAACATAAACGTAAAAATCAATAAATACTCGATATTAAAACTTTACACTGGCAGGTTTCACTCAGCATACATACTTGTCATCGGTATTTGAGGTAAAACCATCGCCCATTTTTTCGACGAGCTTGACGAATGGAATCTCAACAAGAGCTAAGCAAGTGATCTACTATATCGCACATAACACTTATCCCATAGATTGCCGCACTGTAAAAGCTGCAGCGTACAACCATTTCTACACAGTCAACTGACACGTATTTTGAGAGTAACACGGTGAATTTAGTGAAGAAATTATTTATTATTTAGAAAATATTAAACTGAAATTTGATTGAAGACTTTGTCGAACACTCACCTTAACCATCTGATCACGTCCACATGTAAGAATCTCAGGATCTGACGGTGATGCAGAAGCACTTGAGCGGGATACAATATGACAGATATCCGCCTCATGAGCATAAAAGCGGATCAACTGTAAGATGCTTGCAGTTGAAGAAACATCCGACGGTTTAAATGAATAAATACACACAATCCCCTTTTTGTAACTGACAGCAACTCGCCAAATGGAAGGAACTATTGCAGATTTCTCCCATGCGCACATCACAACAGAATCGTTTTCAAATTTTTTAGGTACATAGTAGGATTTGTTTGTCTCACAGTCGAAAACCCATACTAAAAGCAATCCTTTATCTGTGCCCACGAAGTTGTACGACTCATTTTCAGAGTAGGAGAAACGGCTGACAGCTGATGGGTTGATATTTCCCCGCACTTATTGTATATTAAACTTGGTCTCCAGTATCCATTCTTGACTGAAATACTTCCAACGTCGAACTAAACCATCAAAGCCACAAGAAACCACACGCAAACAAGCACACTCATCAAAGGTTACTGCCGATATCTTTAGATTCTCTCATAGAGTGGTCAACGACTGGAACTCCTTACCTGATTCAGTAGTAACAGCTCCATCGGTGAACGCTTTCAAAGAGAAGTTAGATCTCTGCAGAGATATATTTTGCAAGGATTAACACAGGCCACAAGAGCCTTCTATCCTTATCAACTGAATCTGAATCTGAATCTGAATCTGTCTTGATGGGCTATTATCTGGCCCAAACAACTCCACGAATATTTCTGTTGATTTTCCAAGTTTGTTTCTTGTTTAATGATGAGAATATGTATATAAGAAAGAGAGGAAAATGCAACAAAAGCACGTCCTCCATTGTTATCAGCTTGCCAATTTGTAACGGCCACTACGTTTGACTGGACCAAGTCTGGTGAACCAGTCAAAAAAGAATTTGGCGATTTCGCGATATTCCTGAATTACGTAAATTAGTGTCACACTGAACTTACCATCAGCGTGGAATCAAGCTGTAATCAAAATCAAAATCAAATCAGGAGCTAGTGCAACGCAATGTTTACAGTCCCAACTTCAATATCCAAGATATTTGAGCGTTTGAACTTGTTGCAGTGCTCTATTTGACCAAACTAGCGTACAAGTATATCCCAGTACTTCTTCGCGTTTATTAATGTGTCCTAACTAGACATTCACAACGTAAATCAAAAGGCACTTGCGAAGGAATACGATGGTGTATTATCGTAAGAATCAAAATTTAAAAGTTGAGCGTGTACAAATGTATCCATTGTTAACACGCAATCTTCAGAGTGATAAACAAATCAAAGTCCAATTACATAGTGAAAGTATACTACGATGATGAGTAATAAAATGGGTCACAATAGCCATGGGTTACAATGGGTTACAATAGCCCCTCCGTAGAATGCAGGTAAATGAAGTTTAGCTGTATTCGGAATATTATTGTCAATTATAAAGAAACAAAAAACATATGAGTTTCTGGTGTGAAAACCGAATTGAGGATTTTAAGTTTTCTGAGGTTTGATAATCTAACTGTATATATGCGAAAATGTTAACAACTTTGAAACAAAACAAAATGTTTAGAAAGTTGTGCCAAATGTAACAATACAACCAGAAAAATTATTAGAATAATAATGCGGCTATTATTGCAAAGAGCTGCAGAATAGATATATATCTTACATTCAGTTAATAGTACAGTAATAAGGAAGTATGTAATAAATTGTCCGTACAAATCTTTGTGACCACTGTACTCGTCTGCCTGATCTTGTGATTCTTCTGTTTTGTTAGCCAGAATATCATCAGATTTTGAATCTTGAGAGCAGGACTCATTTTGTGGCTAAACTTTAGGTGATGTTGATTTGCGTAAACATTCAGTCACCTCTATTTCCACGAAAGCTGGTTTTGCGCGATCGATGCTTACATTCTCGTGTTTTCCTCCGCGTTCGATAGTGATGACTTTGTTTGTTCTGCTTATTACTTTAAATGGTCCGTCATAGGGTGGTTGAAGTGGTTTCCTTACACCGTCGTGTTGTATGAAAACATGAGTGCAATCGTCTAGTTTTCGAGGCGTGTATGCTTGGTTGAGCTGATGTCGCGGCGGATGATTTCTTAAAAGTCTCATATGTTGTCTCAATTGTTGTGCAAAAGTAGTTTCGTCAGCTGAAATATTCTCCAGGCAGTCGCAAAGTAGTTCCATAAACTAATTCTAATGGACAACATCTGATATCTTGTTTTATTGTCGAACGTATTCCAAGAAGTACAAGAGGTAATTTATCGCTCCACTTATCATCATCCTTCAGTGCCATCAATGATGCTTTCAGTTGACTATGAAATCTCTCCACTAAGCCGTTTGAACTGGGATGGCAAGCAGTAGTACGTATACGCTTGATTCCCAGTAGTTCTGTGAGTTGCTGGGCACCCCTGTCTGTAGTAATAATGCTGGGTACTCCGAAGTTGGAAATCCAATTTTGTATAATGCTCCTTGCAACAGTTTCGGCGGCAATATCAGGTAAGGGACTAGCTACTGGCCATCTCGTAAATCTGTCAATACACGTTAAAATGTGCGTAAAGCCATTAGATGGTGGCAACGGTCCAGCGATGTCAATGTGTATGTGTTGGAACCTACCACCAGGTTCTGGAAACTGGCCATAAGGTGAGACTGTATGTCGTACTTTTGACTTTTGGCAGGCTAAACATGATCTGGTTCACGCATACTGATCAGCAGATTTGGTAGTGGTCACAAATGTGAATCGCTCCGATCTGTAGGACAGCAACATGCATTATTTTGGCAGCTCGAGAACTAAACATGAGTTTAGATACTAAATGTATAAAAAAAATAGACTTTAAAAAAATTAATTGAAAAAATGAAACAATAATGACTGTACAGTTTTAGCTTGTAAAAAAATAACAATGCTTTCGCTCCTAACATCTACAAGCCTGCTCAATTTCTTGTCAAGATGCTATCCCATGGGCCATACACAAGTTCGCCAAACATCCTACAGGTCACCGTATTCAACAGGTTCTAGTCCTTCTAGCCACTTCTCTCTGAAATGTTACTTATATACTTCACAATAATCCTTCTACCTAATTACTATTATACTCTATTTTATCTCAACTTCCTAGGACTTTAATGAAGCTGAAATTTTTTCCCTCTTCTCATTTAACCCTTTTCTCGCGTAAAGTTCGGTTGCTCTGATGATAAAAACAACAACACTCATGTTTGAGAATAAGTATATTTTCATAGAAAGCGTCATAGTTTTCCATGGTAAGACCAATATGGTTAGCATCATACATTGCAAATGTGTATTATCATTTCAACTACTACATAGCTTCTTGTATTTATCTTGTAAATATACTTTTAATAATGTATTACTCATAATTGCATTCTATACCATTTTGCAGCTGCGCCAGATTTTCTTCAATTCCTAAAATAGCGTTCAAGCATTTGAAGGCATAGCACTCACACAAATATATGTTGTTTATCGATTGGTCATAACTATCATCGGGAAATGGAACGAATTTCGGGTTGTCGCTCAACTTCGATGGTGACCTTCGTGAAATATTTACAAATTAACATTTATAAGAATCTGTTCTGATTGCTTGTACTATAACTCAACAATATGAACTTTTTGAAAAAGTGACAATGTATGCTAATTAACAATTGTTATTCGTAACATAATTGATCGTGCCTGTAAAAATGGCATGCATTTCATGTAAACTTACCCGTTTATACGAAATATATATTATTATTATTAATCTCACGATTCATATTCGGCCATATTTATCGGTCACCTATCAGTTTAACTGTTGCTCGGATGCCAGGGTGAGAAACGCCATGTATTTTGGAAAACACTGATCTTCGCATTTCTAGTGGGACAAAAGGACGTGCTTTACCTTTGGAAACATCACAAGTAATAGTTAGGTTTTCATCAAACATAACATCTTGCAAACGTAAAGAAGTAATCGTGCTAATTTTTAGTCTTTTCAGATCCTTGTCCATAGTTTGCAGTCTGGCTCTATCTTTAAGACCAAACTGCTCTTTTTCTAAGGTACTTATATGGATGCGAGATAACGCATCTGCTACCTCATTTTATGTTATTTCCTGAATCTAATATCTGACGTGAACTGAGAAATGAACTCGAGGTGTCGGAGTTCTCTTGGCGAGTACTTATCGTGCTCTGCATTCATGGCCTTGGTTAGTGGTTTGTGGTATTTGTAGATGGTAAATGGTATTTCTTCGACCATACGACGAAAACGTTTAACAGCAAGATAGACTGCAAGTAATTCCCTACTGAATGCACTTTATCTGGATTGAGTAGCGTCTAGACATTTGGAGAAAAAGGGGAGAGGTTGCCATTTCCCAGCAGAAAATTGTTGAAGAACTGCGCCGACGGCGACGTCTGATGCATCTGTCACAACAGCTATAGGAGCGTTGACGTCACGACCTACTAGTAAAGTTCCTGAGCTCAGAGTTTGTTTCAGCTTTTCAAATGCTTCGATTGCTGAAGTACTCATGTGCAGCGACTTTGCATGACCTTTCAGTAAATCTGTCAGAGGTTGGGCCAGCTGTGCACAGTGAGGAATGAAACGGCGATAAAAATTGACGAGACCAAGAAATCGGTGTAACTTTTTGAAAGAATTTGGAATGGGGTATTCCTTTATGACTTGAAGCTGTTCTGCTATCGGTCGAATTCCCTGACTGTCTACCTGATGTCCCAAAAATTTTATTGTTTTCTTACCGAATTCACATTTACTTGGCTTGATGACAATCTCATATTCGGCTAAACGTTTAAAGAGTGTTTCTAAGTGATGATGGTGCTCCTCAGGTGATTTACTTGCGGCCAATATATCATCGATATAAGCGTAAGTGAATGTGAGGCCGTGAAGACCTGGTCAATGAATCTCTGAAATGTTTGCGCTGCGTTAGTTTAGTCAAATGGCAGACGGCCAAACTCGAATAAGCCAAAAGGAGTGGTCACCGCAGTTTTGGGGATGTCCTTGGGTTAGACAGGTATATGGTAGTATGCACGAAAGAGGTCAGTTTCGGAAAATATCTGAGCACCTGCCATGTTATGAAAAAAGTCATGGATGTGCGGAATTGGGTATCTATCTGCTATCGTCTGCTTATTTAAAGCTCGATAATCTCCACATGGTCGTATCTCTGTTGAGTTTTTCTTTGGTACCATATACAGTGGTGATGACAATGGGCTGTTTGACGGTCGTATTATTCCTAG